TCCAGGGTTTCTCTCCGCGACAAAAGCGTGTCAGCAGATCTTCAAGAAGTATTATTCTAGGACCGAAAAACAATCTCTCATCTACAACCTTGCAACCATCCTTGATCCGTCTAAGAAATTATCCTTGTATAACGACTGGGGAAATCTCAATGTCCAAGATCCAAGTGGTATACAGCAGAACGGGGACTATATTTCATACACGGAGTATTACAAGTACGTATGAATTCCATCAGCACATGACTATTTTGGCCCATGTGTTTTCCGTGACACCATTTTCCATGACACCATTTTCCGTGACAGGAGACCATCCGTGATATACAGAAAAACATAATTCTTACCAAATTCGCTTCTTAGGGTTCAGTTCGAAGATTATTTTGAACATAATTATGCCAAGTACGCGCCGGAAGCCCAGGTTCATAACATACAAGTGGATGATGGAGAACAATCCTATATAATGCGTCGACTACAAGAGCGTACCACAAGCCAATCAGAGGATGTGCCAGAAATCAAGAGATACCTGGCGAATCCGGTAACAACACTGAATGAGAAATGCCCTCTATCCTAGTGGAAGGTGCATGCTAATGAATATCCCATGCTGGCACGAATGGTGAGGGACATATTGAGCATTCCACTCACATCTGTCCCAGTAGAGCGAATATTCAGCAGTGATCTAGATATTTTGCCATACCGACGCAACAGAATGGGTCACCAGATGATAACTGCGCTGATGTTGACCAAAACGTAGGATGCTGTACACGTGAAATACGGAACCCCAGAGGCACAAATTAGACCAGCACATGTAGAAGAAGGCATAGCTGATTTGGATGAAGGTGAGGTAATGCTGGAGAAACAAGCCCTCAGCTATGATGCAGACTTCCTCCGCCGTATGGTAGCACAGTCCCTAGATACCGTTCAGGGACAGACGGACACGGATTCAGATACAGATTGTGACACGGAAGTAGCTGGGAGCCGGATAATGGACGAGTACCTCCTAAATGACCTGGCAGATTTAGCGTCCGAGAATGCCAGCCCATCGCATAGTTTCACGGAAGATTCTACCTCAGGCATGTCCAACTCGTTCCATCAAAGTCTATTGTGCGGGCAAGCAGCAACACCATCTCCTTCAACTCTACATCAAAGCGCCCGGAAGCGCCATTTATCACAGTCCATAAGTCTGACGCCATCGATGGCAAGCAGGTTTCAGAAGAAACTGTGACCTACGCAGCGTAGGAACTACAAAGTATGAGTGGGTAGGGGTGTTGATGGCATGTGGGGTATACTGGTAGGTAAGTATTAGTGCAGGTTCTAGGGAAAATTTCTTTTCTATGTTGGGAGTACTTTCTTCATTTAGGTTTACTATTTTAGTTGTTATATGGGACAGCTGGAGTTTTGAGGATTTCATGGGCAACATTTCTTTATCTATTTCTGTTGGGAGTTACTTTTTGATTCAGTTTGCTTTCTTTTTGATGGTATGTGGGAGGGCCGGTTTTGTGTAAGAGGGCAGTATAAGCGGGATCGGAGAATTACTTTACCTCGATCTTGAGATATTGAGATTTGTTTAGACATGAGTATTGGGAATTTGTCGGTTAGTTTAGGTTTCTATGTTTGCAGAATTAAAGCGATTCGTTTTATGAGAATCAGAGTGTGCAGAAATTGATGAGGTATCAACGAATGTAATTCACATTAGCACGCAAGGCAGGGTAAGATTATACAGGAGAACGACGGGGGAATGGACGGAAGGTTAGCCACTAGTAGAATGCAGTTGAGAAATGGCGGTAAGGATTGAGCGGGAAGGAAAAGTTTAAGTCCGTGACAGGAGGAGGAATCCGTGACAGGCGGGGCAATCCGTGACAGGAGGACGGATCCGTGACAGGAGGACGGATCCATGACAGGAGGACGGATCCGTGACAGGAGGAGCGATCCGTGACAGATAATGGAGAAAACATAAAACCAAGACCGAGGTGAAACATGGGTGACTAATTCTTGGCGAGGACTCGGTCGATCACCGAGTAGTCGCCGAGTTGGCGGCGAGTTGGCTTCGGAAGAATGGGTGTCAGTGCGAGTTGGTACCGAGTAGGAAAAATAGTAGTAGAACTCGCCTCGACTCGAGCCAATGCACACACTATTCTTGACTAGAGATTTGCTAACCTGTTGTGTAGGTATCTTTTGACCAGTCTTTTTTGACCATTCTAAGTGGTAAGGACTGGGCTCCCTAGTTAACCTTTTCTTCCTGTCATCATCAGAGCCATTGTCTAACTCATCACCCTCAGATCCAGATCCTGGGTCCTCACTGCCACCTCCAGCCATACCACTAGAGCTCCTACTAGACTTCTTGTCAGGAGTCTTAGCCTTTTTGGTATGTGTTGGCTTTTTCCTATCTTTAGATGGTGGTGGCATATCTTTTTCAGATATTTCTTCTATATCTGTTTCATAATCCTCATCTTTCTCTTCCTCATACTGCACACTTTTCCCCTTACCCTTGCCTCCAGCTCCAAACAGTTTCCTTCCTATTTCCTCATGGCTTTCTACAGGTTCTGTTATTGGAGGCACTATTTCTGGAGTTTCCAGATCATAAAGGTTACCCATAAGCATATACTGTGTCAAGAAAGGCCAGTTTAATGCTAGCCATGGAACTCCTTTACATAGGTTATAGTAGGGTAAGGCCATACTGCCTTTGAGGTAGATGAGAGTTGAAAGTCCATTTGAACTGACTTGTCAAATTGTTCTTTCTGTTGGAAAATCATGAACTTTTCTACTGCTTCAGCTAATAGTTCCTTTTTCCTTTTTGACAACATGTTGTTTATTGTTAGGTATATAAATACCTGTGATATCCTTTGGTACCATGATGACTCATTTTTGTCCCAAAAGGCTTTTGTTGCAGGAGGTGTTACAATCCTTACTTCAGGCATTGATGAATTAGGCCCAATGACTATTTCCCTTGTTTCTATTTCTTTTTCTGGAATGTCTTTCCCAGCTGGAACTTTCTTTTTAGGGGTATTGACTAACTTAGCCTTGAGTGCTTCTAGCTCCTCACTTGTCATTGCCTTTCTCCTGCCTTTCCTAACTCTTCCTTCACCTTCTATTACACTAGTACTTTTTTGTTTAGGAGTCTCCATGTCTATCAGATATTATACCACTGATTCTTTGGACTCTGTTTCTTCTATTCCTGCTTTCTTTAAGGTGGATCCTGATGAGGAAGGATCTACTTCTTATCAACTACCTTCTTATCCTCTTTCTGTTGCTTCTGATACCAAGGTTGACTATGGTAAGGGAGAGAGGAGGTTGAAGGGTAAAAGGGTTACTTTTGTTGATGAGATTGTTGTGGGAGCAGGGTTTCCTTTAAATGCTGGGAAGAAAGTTGAGTGGAAGGATAGGGGTTGGACTGCTAGGTACTTGTGTTCTTTTTGGAGGGAGAGGTACAGAAACTTTCCTTGTTCTGCTTACTAGAAGAATTCCCAGTTTTTCTTTAGGCTAGGTAGAGAGTGGGGCTGGGATACTCTCTGGAGTTTGGATGTTGATAGGACTTGTTCCTATAATCCACACCCTTATTGGACTTCTGAGGCAGTTTCCAGGTCTCAGAGTTACTAAATTAGGTAATTGTTGTTTTCTTTTGTATTTGCCAGTTAAATACAATTATTGTTGCCCTCTTATGTTGTTTGCTACTATTTGTATGCTTTTACTGTTGCTATTTGTTGAATAGTCTTATTGTTGCTATTTGGAGGATAGTCTTACTTGCTGACTGTCAGACTTTGTACTACTATGCTTTTGTGCTGTAGGCTTATACTGGCTTTAGTTTCTACTCTTGTTGGTAGAAACTTTGTTGATTAGGTAAGGTTGATCAGGCCTTCCTAGTTAGGTAAGAATCAAGTTCTTAGGTTAAAAAAATGTAAAGTGTTGTATGGGGGACTGGACAATCAGATTAGATTAGATAAAGATCTAATCTAATCAGATAATCTCAGGCTAGTAATGTATACTACAAAGTAGATTACTAATAGTGTATTGTTTATCCTCACTATTAAAGTTATTACCAGTAGCATAAGATTACTGTAATAGGTAAAGTAGTATAGGAGTGCCAAAGGCACTTAGAAATTAACCAGTGGAACTTCTATATTGATTGTACTCTAACTATGTTCTGAGTTCTAACTATCTGTCCAACTAAAGGGAAATTCAGGGGACTATATGTGTTTCCAACGGGGCAGTGCTGGGGCAGTACTGAGGCAGTGTACCATCATCTGACCCTTACATATGATAAAGATCTGCATTATCTGATCCTCTAGATAGTACTTCCAAATACTATCTAGTACAAAATAGGTTAAGTCTTAACTTAGACTTATATATGTGAAAGCATGTGAAAGCATGTGAAATATTAGCAAGGCAGACAGCACACAGAACGTTGTGTGTTTTGAGATACTTGCTGAGTAAGAAAATACATAAGAAATACATTTGTGAGGGAGAGGGTTAGTCATAGGGTATGAGTAAGCCACTTCCTTACAAAAGGAGTGTCAGAGTGAGGGATCATACATGGAAAATCTGGGTAATAGAGAGCAGAGATCTCGAATTGTCACCAATTAAAAACTAGATAATAAGAGCTCTGAGCGGAAGTGACTACAAAATAAGAAAGCCTAGAATTCCCAAGGAAAGAATAATCTGTACAACAAGATTTAAGACATTAAGTAGTCTGGTTGGCACAACCCCTCGGTATGTAGAGGGAGATTAGGTGGAATAGTGAGTTCAGTATAACGTGGGTGTATGTTAGTCTCGCTGGCACAAACACCCTCTACAGGGTGTATGTGCGTTCAAATAGTGGATGAGCCTACCGCATAGCTGCTCAAACGCGTCTAAGTGCCATAGGTCGACTGGGATGTTGAGTGCTTTGGCTAGATCTCCTAGGGAAATGAGGGCTGTCGTAAGAGTGTCATGCACTGGATGGAATTTGACGGCTCGGGAAGTCAGGTTGTCGTAGTATTAATTGTTTTCGACAGTCACTCCTCACCTAAAAAGGCACAGTAGTCTAATGGTATGACTCCTGCTATGTAGTGTCCTGCTGACTTTAGGCAGAGGGCAGGTGGTCTGGGTTCGATTCCCAGCTGAGCCAACATTTCTTTTTTGCTTTTCATAGCGACCCATGGGATCTATTGTCTCTTCCCCTATTCTTTCCCAATAGGGCCTAAACCTCAACCTTGAGGTCCTTAACTAGACTATCTATCACCGTCTCTACACGACCATCAACTCAGTTAGTCTGGTTGGCACAAACCCTTTGAAAGAGGCAATCCAGTATGCACCAGAGCACAATCTAGTCACCTAGTCTCGTTTAATCCAGTATAGGTGTTTCCAGTGGTCTGCCAGCGCTTGCAGGCATGTACAAATAGAAAATCTAATGAACATATTGTGATTGGTTTACGCCTGGGCACGAGCCGAGCCCAAGGTTACACAGGCTCGAGCCCGGAGGTCGTTGTAACCGCGAAATACCGAAGGTACCCGGTGAGTGGAAATCTTCAAAATGCGTTGCAGTTCCACCCTTTCCTCTTTTTTTTCTTTCTCAATAACACAACCTCCTCCGGCAGTCCTGGAGTTCATTTCCTCCCTTCAAAATTTACAACTATAATCGCTCCATTTCCGACATAACCAAACACGCCTACCAACACAAGAGGAGGAAACTGCACAAATTGATGAAATCACCGCTGTTCTTACCGATACAGCTTTCGTTCCGGTCCAGCAATCGGCCGCCCCGTAGATTAATGGGCCGCTATAGCTGTATGGGCCCCCCGATCCAGCAATGGCACTAATGACCGGCCCATCTAGCAGTGGGCCCAGCCTATGCAACGACCACAATAATTTCTAGCATAAATATTGCATACAGAACTATCTATGTAAGCAAGCGAAACAACCTAGCGAAAAAAACAAGCGAAACAACCTAGCGAAAAAAACAAGCGAAACAACCAAGCGAATATGACATACAAATAAATAAATAAAATACTAAAACAGAGAAATACGAAGGAGAAAGAGACAGCGGAGAATGCGCAAGTGTAGGCGCAAGTGTAGTGCGTGAGACTACAGTGCGGGTATTACATTCCTCAAAGGCAGCATCTTCTTCTATTGTACTAACGGAAGCAGAGGAATCAATACTGTCTGTTGCCCAAAAGACTCGGGATCAAATGGCCAATCGTTATAATAAACGATTTGTTATTGAGTCCTTTGAGCCCAATACAGTTGTTTCACTGCGTATTCCTAGGGAAGACCGGAGTACTCTAGACCATCCTAGACTCTATGCTCATATTATACGTCAGCCACACTCTGGTAGATATCAACTATGGACAGAGCATGGTATCTTGGATCGATTATATCCGACTGGCGAACTCAACCGGGTTTCTAAGCTTGTGGGTATGTATCTAATCCTTAATATCAATCTTCATATTCTTAAAGACTCATGCCTTCTCTAGCCTCAACTTTGGATCTTATAAGCAATTCATCGGTGATCACCCTCCACCGCGCTGCTGCTCTGGCCTCTCAAGCAACAGAGGTGCTTCTATATTGTGCTTGCAGCAATAATGCTACCTGCCAAACGAAACGATGCAAGTGCTTCAAATCTGGCTCTAAATGCACCAACTATTGCCACCGGGGCAAGGGCCTCGATCAGGCTGAAGCATGTCTTAATCTCGCTGCCTTTGAGGAACGTAATACCCGCGTTGTAGTTTCACGCACTACACTTGCGCCTACACTTGCGCATTCTCCGCTGTCTCTTTCTCCTTCGTATTTCTCTGTTTTAGTATTTTATTTATTTATTTGTATGTCATATTCGCTTGGTTGTTTCGCTTGTTTTTTTCGCTAGGTTGTTTCGCTTGCTTACATAGATAGTTCTGTATGCAATATTTATGCTAGAAATTATTGTGGTCGTTGCATAGGCTGGGCCCACTGCTAGATGGGCCGGTCATTAGTGCCATTGCTGGACCGGAACGAAAGCTGTATCGGTCAGAACACCGCTGTATCTCGCTATGGTTGAAACCTACCATTTGCTCGGTTACGACAATATTGCAGTCCTATGTATCGTCCGATTTCGCAGCCGACTTTAGGTGGACGATGAAGGTTGAAATTGATTCTGTCCATTTCCACGTCTGTTTATATCTGTATCTTCCATATTTCTGCGTCTTTGATTTTTTCCATGACCTATACAGATATGTAGCGTACGCAGTTATCTATTTACTCTTGCAATTCTCGCGAGCCAGCTCGAGCCCGTATGCGAGCCGGCTCGAGTCTTGGCGGCTCGAGTCGGCTCGAGTCTTGGCGGCTCGAGTCGGCTCGAGCCTCCTTTCGTAAAGCTCGAGCCGGCTCGAGCTCCTTTGTAAAACCACGAGTCGGCTCGAGCCTACCCCCAGGCTCGGCTCGAGCCGGCTCGTGCCCAGGCCTAGATTGGTTATGGGCCGAGTCGGAGGACACAAGTGCTACTGTATCGTTTTCTCTAGTCTGGTTGGCACCGTTTTCTCTTGTATTACTTTCTTCTTTTCTCTCTATTGCATCTCCTATTTCTTCGAGCTTTATCCTTATATGATTCCATTTAGGATCTGCCCAAAATGCGATACAGGAGTACCCGCTATATAATGATAACTCAGTGGTCTAATGGTATGACTCCTGCTACGTAGTGTCCTGCTGATTTCCAGGCAGAGGGCGGGTGATCTGGGTTCGATTCCCAGCTGAGCCGAAATTCCTTTTTATCTTTTTCTTTTTTACAGTGACACTTCGCTACTTGCTTCCCCTCTACATACATAGTCTCTTGTCTCTTCTTCTCTCCCGACCCAACAACCTACACCCTCCACCTGCTTCCGCTGGATAAGTTTTTTTTTTTTTTTTTTTTTTGTTGTATTTAATACTCCTATTCGTCCCAGTAAGGGGACCAAGAATAGCGAGACTGGGACCAAGAGGAGCCACCCGCGAGCCCAGGTGGATTCAGGACAAAGCAAGTATCTGCCAGGTCCGCTGGATAAGTACAATGAGCCACCATGAATCCTTTCGTATTTTCATCCACCTCCCACTCTCGCGTCTGCGATATCGACATTCCTAGCGTCCGTAAATCAATACTTTCTGGACGAGACCAGCACTAAATAATATGATGGCACCAACAACAACTATGCATGTAGGGCAATTTAAAATCTTGAACGACTTCTAGACTGCTATGACCGCCCTAGAAACTAAGAATGAGTGGTTGGAAGTGCAAGAGTTGAAGGTCAACAGTTCTCCGTATATAATTCCGCCATCCCATGCATTCACCCATTCACCCGAAACCTTCAATCAATCCCCATTCAGGCGAGTCACCTGTCGTGGGATTATCTCATCTCAAAATCCTAAGCATTAACATGGGGTTTTTGTCACTTTGCTCGGGTCCAAGGAAGTGGAATGAACGATATCAATGGATTGAGGTGGTTGGTGGGGTTGCAGGAGTATGGGGTATGGGGTATGGGGTATGGGGGTGGTAGGGAGAAAAGTATGGTGATTAGAGGGAGGTAGTCCCTGTTGGAAGGTCGTGTGACCGAACTAGGAGGCGGCTCAAATCGCAGTTGGGCAATATTGGACTGATCCCAGCACTGGCTGTAGGTACAGGCTATGGCCTTCCCACTAACTGGGTACAATTCCTAGCTTATCAAAAGGCAAAAAAGCAGTCTAGGAGTAGTATCGTTGCACCGACCCTTACTAGAGAGTCTGGTGTGAAATGCGGTTGATTGGCAGTCGAAAGTACGTACCCCCAGGATGGTCCAGCTGGTAAAGACTCTCATTTCAGACTACTGGGTGAATATATCTTTGAATTCGGTGGAGAACAAATTTGGGATAAAAAGGGTCGTTTTTTCCGCATTACATACACGTCCATTAAAGAGACAAAAAAGAACCACTACGCTGAGAGCAGTTGTCACCCGATCCACCTGAATTACGACACTGCAGACACGACAGAGAACTATAGGTTGTCCTTTGGGTCGGTAATATGAGACTACCATATACGGTTGATAACTTATGTGAGGGATGATTTGACCTGAATTTTTGGTATGGACTCGGTCTTTTCATGATTTTTGCTTGGGAATGGGGCTACTACAAGATAACTATTCAACTAGGCGATTTTGTCATTATTTTAATTATTATTTTTTTTTTTTCCCCTGGGGATGTATCTGGACACACATGTGGGGGCGCAGGGAGCCTTTGGGGGGACGCGCTGCCTAGTTCATGGGCGAATATGAATATTTCCTTCACCCAAAAAGAAAAATAACTGTATTGAACCCATGCTGTGGTTTGGTAATGATACTTAAACTTTCTAGAAAATTACTGCATCACTGGGTGGGGGTTCAGAATAGCAGAAATACACCTGTTACCCTCAACTCTTCCACATCGACCCCGCCTCCCCTCCACCCCTCCTTTCTCATAGTTGTAGCTGGTTTCGCTAGATATACTAATAGTCACCAGATGATAAGCTCAGCTCATATACATATACTCTACATGCAGCTTTCTTAGCCTCTCCAAAATCCACATTCTTCTATTTCATCCCTTATATCTTATCTAAACTATTGATACTTGAACTCGGTCTACACAGTATTACTATACATTACAAAACCATCTACATTATTCACCACAACCCACATTGACACTATATCCCCCACTTTCGCCTTTCATATTCTCATCTTCGGTTTTGACGGAGGGGATTTTTCCTCGCAATTTCAACTTCTCTCTCTCCTTCTCCTTCCACACGCTATGAGAATAGGTGAGCGGTAAGAGCCGTGAGTCCAACGAAGGAAGATACGAATGTGGAAGAGCGGTAGAGAAGCACAGTGAATGAGCAAATAGCTTTGTATTGAGCAGCTATGAGATAGATCGATATCCTCTGAGATCTCCCAGTAAGGTGGGAATTACACAGCTATATATACATGAATGAACGTACATGTGAGTTCATATGTGAGTTCATATGGAAGATCACATGAAGGTTGAGCCGTGCGAAGGTTAAGCTAATAGGTATGGGCTGGAATGACACGAGCAACCTTCTAACACACGCGCCCCCTCACCTTTCGTTTTATCCTTTTCTTTAGTAGTACTCGTATTCTATCTAGTTGATTCAACCTTGAA